TAAACATTAGGAAACATAATAATAAGAATAAACTCCCCCAGAGATTCTGAAAATTTGGGGAACAGATATAATTTGATAAAGATTATACAAGGATTATACCAACCTGAAAACATAGGCTTTTTTGTTAGAGGTTTTTGCATTCATCCAATTTCTTTTTCTCGATATTTGGAGTTTTTATATTATGCCTATTTATAGGGACCTACCTACAGCACCCTTAGATGGGAATGGATAAATTCCACTGTATTTTAATACAATTTCCATATTTGGTCTTGCATATTATGTATCTATAGTAGCCGCCATAGATATTCGAGATCCGTGGTTTTAACTCCAGAGCAAACGTGTCCAGTGCAATGTTTACCCTGGAGTTATGCTTTATCCGGGGATGACTTGCTATTGAGAAACCGGCCCTAAGTTCAAGATTATATTGGTTTGAAATTATTCGATTTAAATCGTTGTAAATAATGTTTAAAATAATTTTTCAATTTTCTTGAAAGATCTCTCAAATATTTAATGCAAGAAATTGATTATTTAATCCTAATCCAGGACAATACAATAATACTATAACGTCCGGTTTATTCATCTTCCGATACACTTGCTGGTAACTATCTTCAAGATAAATTTACCGTTCAATAATTTTATTGGTCCGTTTTTATCCATCAGATTGCATACCACATCTGTGGTATGTTTTTGCTTCGGTTTTTGCTTTATCCCGGGGCATCGTCGACAAAGAAATAATTTTTTGTAGGAATCTCGAATATCTATGGCGGTTACTATGGATGGGTGATATGAATAAAAACGAAGTACTTGCTACTACTACAAGTATTAGTATATCCTACGCAGTATTTGCTTTAAAAAGAAGGATCTACTAATTTCCGGTAGTATCTACTTCACTCAGTCATATGAATAAAGTGTAGCAAATGGTTTTACTACACCTCCGTCTCTTTTTGCTGGATTAAAGCTGAATATGTTTATCTCAAAAACTCAAGCAAAAGCATATGCTCGTGTTTTATGCATAGGACCGATAGAATATGCTTCACCACAAAGTATATACTCCATATTATGAAGTATCAACTTACAAGTGTAGTACATTCTTTGAAATGTATAGTAGGTACTCACTTCCGTCAATGGCCATACATACGCCGCGCGGGGCCCGGGCTAACATGATGATGAGACATGTTTAGTTTTTGGGAAACAACAGTTGTTAGTTTTGTATGATAAATATTTATTTTTAACTCTTTAAGATGTCTTCGGATGAAGGAAGTGTGATAGAAGAGTCCCAAAATGACAAAAGTTGGCATTTGTTATGGTTTTGCTCGAAAACTTTGAAGTTGCGTTAGATAAAAAAATGACACCTCCGATAAAATCGGCAAAAGATATAGATTTGAGTCTTCTTGCAGTATAAATTTTATTTTATTATTGAGCCATTTTTAAAATAGGTAATCACTTAGTCGCACTCACGGTGAAGCAACTATGATACTTAGCTTCGCTAATAACCGAGCTAATACTCCAGTTGTTGTTAAAATCGAAGTATCTACCAGCCAAAATTAGATAATTTTAGCTGTAGTACATGCGACTATAAAGTTAAAGAGAATGCTATTATATTACCAACTTCCAGAAAAACAGAAGGAAGTTCTTCGAAATGTAGTATCTACTTCGTTTTAAAGTGAATACTGCGTAGAATATACTCATACTTGTAGTAGTAGCATGTACTTCGTTAATATTTATACCACCCAAAATTTGAACTAGTTTTATTGCTCGTGTGAATATCTCTCCTATAATCTTATTTGTGTTTTAAGATTATTGTATATTTTTGCAAAGGAAAGGCATTGGTAAGTTCTTTCATCGAGTTTTCAAAATGTCTTGGTCCGATAGTTAGGTATCCTTTGTATAACAGAGCCCAAATGATCATTTGAGATAAATCGAAACACTGGCGTTAAGGAAACAGCAGTTTCTTCATAAAGTGGACCCGAAATCCACGAAAACTCAACTTCAAGTATAAACCGTAAAGAAGTTTTTGCTGTTAAGAGGGCGCGTGGATCCCAAGGGATAGCTGCGGCTTGTTTAAGGGCCTTAAAGGGGGTGTGACCCAAAAAATGACTTGAGTTACCTAAATCAAGAAAATAAATCTAAGATCTCTCGTGAAAACCGCAGTCCTATATTCAAAATAGTCTCTGAGAAAACTTCTTGTGAAGATAAATTATGCAGGAGCTTATGATGTTACAACCGCCGAAATCGCAGTCTTCTGTTCGCTCATCCGTCAGTGGACTGACCCTATACTTTGAGTGGTTGCAATTCGCTCTAGTGAGATAATTGTCTTTTGTTTTGAAAAATTCTTACACGTGTTAATACTGTCCCTGATAATCCAGTGTGACGTCACAAACACCTAGTTGTAAGTTTGAACCGCCCTAACTCGAAAACGGAACATCGTAGCAAGATGCGATTTAAATATTTATTCTTAGATTTTTTTGCACTAAAACTTTCATTTTTGGGTCACACCCCCTTTAATAAAGAAAACTTCTCAATTTATTGCAGACGTTAGGAGAATGAATTTGAACACAAAGTTTTATCCCTTAATATAGAACTGTTTAGATAGGCAATCAAAACGATTGATATAATTTTTAAGCTATTGTTTGTTTGGCTTTAGTCTTTTGAAGCAAATGGCGTTTCAGAGAGACATTTTTTTCTAGTTCTCCATTCAATAGATACAAAATCTCATCAATGTATATTGTTACGTGACCGGATTCGTAGATAAATGAGACTTTTAGACTTTTCCAAGCAAAGTAATTGTATTAAACACAATTGAGTTACAATAAACTTCCCTTTACCCTATCTGAAAATTGAATCCGCAAAAAAAAATAATAATTCATGGAACCGAACAATCTAACTTTTCCTTCATCCACAATATTTGATATTCTGGGAACATTTGCCAGGTGTATCATCCCAGTAAAATTTGTAGGTGAAGGATAATAATGTAATAAATTGAATCCTCTATTTTATATTTTAGAATCATCCCGTTTCGAGATGACGGGAAATATATTAGTTTGCCGGATAAATGGGGCTCAGGACGAACCCCTCACAAGATATACAGGGTGTTTGGTAAATCGATAGGAAATTTTCAATATGTGGTAGTTGGGGTCATTTGGAAGCTGTTTGACCATATTTACCCTTAGGCAAAGTTTCGTCGTGTTTGAGATATCAGCATTTTTAGATATTTTTGGGAAATATTTGAAATGTTCCTAGAACATATGGTTTTTTTTGGTAGTAAACACTTTACCCTTTTTCAATTTTTTTTTTCCGATATTCTTAATATGCACTCTTTCGAAGCAATATACGGAAAAAAAAAACGAATAATTGATTCAAAAAATATGTAGCCCAAGTTATGTGTTAAAATACATGGATTCAAAATATCTAAAAATGACGATATCTCAAAGAACGGCGAAACTTTGCATGTGGGAAAATATGGTCAAACAGCTTCCAAATGACCCCAACTATACTCATTGAAATCTCCCTATGATGTACCAAACACCCTGTAGTCGTGTATCATCCCTTTATAAGACCATAAGGTATCGGGCTATTTACTTTTCCGATATAAGTTTCATGAGACATCACACAAAAGGGAGATAAAAACTGGGGAAAACTTCAGATTTTCTTTTTCCTTATAACAGTTTCTTTATGTATTATAGAATATTTCTAGAATAGGTGGTAATCTGATTTAAGTTCTCTTCTAGCCGCAACTATCAACTCTAGTCTTTTATACTCCTGAATCTTTAAAAGCAGTAAGCTTCAAGTGCTTAGCTTTGACATATGACAAGCTTTTCCGATTACTATAAAATGCCCATTCTTTTGCAAAGATTTTTTTCCGAAGTTCATGACATTTATTTCGAAACTAATCCACAATTATTTAAAGATATTTTTGCAATAATTTATTAAAAACGTATCTACATCCGTTCTAATAATTTAGGGTTTACTTCTGGTGGTTGTAATAATATGTTATCATAAATTTTAAATTTTATAACACTTGTGATAATAGGAAAACTATTTTAATTGTTCCTTGCACATTAAGAAATAAATTAAAATTTCATTGATATCTATATTTAGCGGTAATACAAGTTTAGTAGAAAATAATAGAGAAACCATAATGATCAATATTAATTTAAATAAATCAGGTATTGACTGCTTGGAAGGACACATGTAATTAGTGTTCATTAATCATAAGTTAAATAATGTAATGATTTCTTGTTCAGTTTGTTTTAATTAATAATTTAATTAGACATACAATGAGGTACACCAGAAATGTAAATTTAATTTGCTTGCTTGATACAGAAAATGCCTTCATTAAATATCCCAGATGGTATCTACCTAACATCCTACGCAAATACGAAACTATTCCCATAGGAGAGTAGTTTGGTATTTGTAATATGGTATCAAATTTTGCAATACAAGCAGTATATTGCATCCAGTGTTTCATGTACCTTCGTCCTACTCGTGCATAACTCAATTAATAGGTATTCACAAGAAGCCGTAATAGTTTACTTTTGCCGATACAGTAGCAACAAATGTGTTCAATAAAAGACTAGAAATAGTTATTTAAAAGTATGAAAGAGTCATAAAAAAAATAATATCAAATTAAATTATGGCATGTAGCATGTTTTTAAATCATGAAGTTAAACTATTTTTTCAGATAATTTTTATGTTTGTTTCAGTCATGGGGAAGACCTAATTGTCACTCCATTTGCACAAGTTCTCGCCAGTTTACGAAGCGTTCGCACGAATTTCCAATGTCTCACCAATATACCAACAAACAAGTAAGTATATATTCTTAAATTTTTGCTACCATTCTAGTCAACTAAAAATTCAGTGAAAATAATTTTACTCTTAGTTAGTTATCTGTTTTGAGTCTGCTACACTTGGTATATAAGATTTTGACTCAAATGATATATTATATGTACTTATATTTCATTCGAACTTTTTACCGATGTACTTCATCTGAACTTAGTCCCATGGAACTCATAGAAGTTGGTTCGTTGGTCCTAAGTCCACAAGGTGGGGTGGACGGTGGATGGTATGGATTGTTTGCTGTGGGAATTTTGATTTAAGGCCTTTGGCCTTTGTTTAACTGGATCCTGTCTCAATAACTGCTTGTCCCAGCAGAGATGGAGAATATTATCGCTGACAGCCTTTCAGTGTGCCGAGAGTCAATTCTTCTTATTGAATATTTTGTGTTACGCCTCGCTGTGTGGATATGGTTTTTCCAAGTAAGTCCTTAGTCTATAGGTACTTATAGCATTGTTATTGCATGAAATGGGCTCTTCATCGAAGTCTATTCGCTAAGGAGGAGTGCGCCTTTGTTTTGAAAGACCACGGTTTAACTTTAATGTGCGTCCAAGTTCTTCTTGCGAATGTACAGATAATTTATTTGAAATTGGAATAAAGGAATTATCTGTAACCTGAATATGGGAGCTTACTGGGAACTAATTTCTTGAAAACAACATTTTTGACATATGAAAGTTTTCTTCTCTATGCAATATCAACACTGCGACCCTCATCAATGTGAGTTTCCAGCAGTTTTTGGGCAACAGACTGAACATCAGGTGGCAATACCTTGGAAAGGCTGATCTGCATAATGATTTGACATTAGATATTCCTATTGGATTTTACAAATTTTTACCAGTTTTCCTGAAATATGCCTAATGTTTGAGTTCGTTCGTTTGGTTTTTCTGTTTCTTCTGTTCTTTTTGTTTTTGAAAAAGTTGCATTTTGGGACATCCCTTGTATCTCGGTTCTCTCATAAGTGATCGAAAAGGTGACAACAGTTTCTTATAGATATTTTTACGTAGCTTCCAGTAGCGTAGTCAGTTTTTCTCTAGAAGTGATATTTTCCAAATTATGAACCAAACATACGTTTTTTCAAATGAGACATCCTATATATCATGAACTCATTGGATAGCTCTGCTTTTGCTGATTTCAGTGATATAACATTCGATAGGTTCATCTTTAACAGTTTTCGAGCAAAATTTTTTTTTCTCTTTTCATAAGAAACAATGTGTTAAAAAAAGACCTCTCTCATTTTCTTTACAGATGCAAAGTCCTTTTCTGATACATTATTTCTTATGATAAAAACATGATCAGTGGCGCGATGCCCCCCTCTCTTGGGTGCGTAACATGATAGAGATAAACCTATCGAACTTTATATCATTGAAATCAGCAAAAGTAGAGCTATCCAATGAGCTATTAATATACAGGGTGTCTAAATTGAAAAAACGTATGTTTGGTTCATAATTTAAAAACTATCACTTCTAGAGAAAAACTGACTACGCCACTGGAAGCTACGTAAAAATATCTATAATAAACCGTTGTCACCTTTTCGATCAACTACGAGAGAACTGAGATACAAGGGGTGTCCCAAAATGCAACTTTTGCAAAAACACCTTGTATCTGAAAAATAAAAAGAGCGATGACAATTCTGTTGGCGCCATCTTTCTAATCTGTCAGCTAATGCCAGCATTGACGCTGAAATCCAAGTGTGTTAGCGCGGCGTTCGGGCGACTTCTAGAGAGAGTCCAACAATGACAACTTCCGCGCTGAGACGAAACTTCGCGTCTACAAAGCAGTTGTAATACCAACACTTACATATGGCTGCGAAACATGGACCACCTACAGAAGACACATAAAAAGCCTAGAAAAATACCAACAGCATTCACTAAGAAGGATCCTGAGAAACTAGTAGTATGGAAGCCCTCGTCATCAAGCACCAACTTCGCCACAGCAGGGGCCCAATTCTTGAAAAATCTCACATACGAAAATTGATATGATTTCGAATATTCCCTGTTCAGTTTACGTTGCTGTCATTTCAATTCGAATCAACTTTCGTATTGAATTTCGAATTGACCCGCTGGTCACCTCGTGCGCATGCCCGAAACACCTCAAACGACAGATTCTCTACGGTCAACTACTGAAAGAGGAAAAACGGAATCGAGGAGGTCAACAACAACGCTACAAAGATGTTCTTAAGGAAAATATGGCAAAGTACCGCATCGATACCAGCAACTGGGAGACGGCAAATAATAGGTCCTCATGGCGTCGAGTCGTCCAAGACGGACCACAAACTTTTAAAGAACAGCGACGCAGACACGAGACCGAAAAGACCACGGGAAAGAGCGAGAGAACAGAGGAAGAAACAATGCTGCCAGAGGCTGGGTGTGCCAAGACTGTGGAAGTGTGTGCGATTCCAGAATTCGTTCACATTGCCATTAGAAAACGCACAATCGACAACATTAAGATTAGGATAGAAGATAATCATACTCGGTATCGAAAGATCACCTATAATGATTACATTTTTTGGCATCCGTCACGTTATGACTGTCACGGCAAATTCGAAAATGTCGATATGGAAATGAAAAAAGTGGGATTAGATGGAAAAATATCGGAAAAAGTTAATTGAAAAAAGAAACGATATTTTATTTATTTTCTACGAAATTTGGAGCACAAACGACAAAAAATAGGAAATTCCGAAAGAAAGATTGTACATTCTACAAATAAGAAGTTTTTCCAAATGTAGCGAACATTATGGTGGACTCTATAGTTAAGTAATTTTTGATTGAGATTAGGTTTGGTTTGATCTATCAGCTGCAGATAATTATAAAAAATCATACTTAAAGGCTTCTGTTTTAGAGGCCAGTGAATTTCTTTATTGGCTGACTGAACAAGCCTGTTAATTTCAATTCTAGTTAGGCTACGATTGCAGCTGCAATTTCTCATCTTGCCTTTCGTCTGTTTGTTCTGCATTGTATGGCTCCACATGCATGCAGACTCACATTTAAATATTCCAATATGTCAGGCATTTTGTGATAATAATATGACTGATATTCGTACATTTTGGTTTAGGGTTTATGTTTTCAGTTTCTAGTATTACACTGATTACAAGTTGTAGTAGACCAACTGATTGAAATTCTAGGATGGTGGAAAACACAATAACTGAGTAGTGTTATTTCAATCATGTTTCTGATTTAGTATGCTCTCTTGTGATGCGCTAGGTTAGAACTTAGGTTAGAAACCGGCCTGTAACTCATCATCATAAGCGATCACTCGATACCGAGTATGATTATCTTGTATTCTATCCTTATTGTCGTCGATTGTGCGTTCTCTGATGGCTATATAAACCAATTCTGGAACCGCACACTCTTCCAAAGTCTTTGCACACCCAGTCTCTCGCAGCATTGCCTCTTCTTCTGTTCTTCCGCTCCATCCTGCGGTCCCTTTTTTCGGTCTCGTGTCTACGTCGCTGTTCTTGAAAGGTTTGTGGTACGTCGTGGACTACTCGACGCCATGATGACCTATCCTTTGCTGTCGTCTCCCAGTTGCTGGTATCGATGAGGCACATCTTTGTAGCCTTTTTATTGACCTCTTTGATTTCGTTTTCCCTCTTTCAGTTGACTGTAGGGGGTCTCTCGTGAAAGACGTGTTTCGGGTATGCGGACGATGTGACCTGTCTAACAAGGTTGGTGCTCAATGACAGGGCTTCAATGCTTGTTGTTTTGACCTCCTCTAAAACACTAATGTGCATTCGTCGGTCTTGCCATTTAATCCGTAGGATCCTCCTGAGACATCGCTGATGGTATTTTTCTGGGCTTTTTATGTGCCTTCTGTAGGTGGTCCATGTTTCGCAGTCATTTGTAAGTGTTGGTATTACAACTGCATTGTAGACGCGAAGTTTGGTATCAGCGCTGATGCCGTGATTATTGAAGACTCTCACCAAGAAGACGCCCGAACGCCGAGCTAGCACACTTCAAGCGATGTTGGATTTTAGCGTCAATAGTTGCATTCGCTGATAGAAGGCTACCAAGTTATGGGTAGCGTTCTACTATCTGGAAACAATGGTTATTTATAGGTATATTTAGTGCTTGGGGATTAGTATCCGGTGCGGGTTGGTGCAGAATCTGCGTCTTGTTAAAGTTGACCTCAAGGCCGATTCTCCTATATATCTGGTTGAATGCATATTGATAATTGCCTGAAGATCTCCCCCTGTATTGGCCATCGCGACGATAATCCGCATATTGAAGTTCATTCATCGATATCGTCGATACTTTCGTCTTGGCTTGTAATCTGTTTATGCTGAATAAGCCGCCATCAAGTAAATCCATGATTTCCACTCCTGATGGCCGGTGACTCTCGACAAGGTGAAGTATCGATCCTATAAATAAAGTGGGTTCAATAAAACAACCCTGTTTAACGCCTGTAGTTATTTGGAAAGACTCTCCTTGTCCATCGTTGTTTAGGACGGTTGCATTCATATTATCAGGCAACAGGCGGAGTATCTGGATGTCCTTTCGCGGACACGGAACCTTTGCCAATATTTCCCAAAGAGCTTCTCTGTTATACTGTATCTCTGGGAGGTTTTCTTCGGCAGTTGGGATTAAACGATTTGATAATATTCTGGCAAGTATCTTTTCCGCAACAGATAGTTAAAAATAATATTCCTCTTTAGTTTCCACATTAAGCCTTTTCTCTGTAACTAGTGAAGTATCAAATGAATGGAAATTCGATTTATTACTTTATTCTCTTACAGAGCACATTCACTGGTATTGCATCATTTAGTAGTATCTAGAAGCGAAATCGCATAGTCTGAGCTAGTGGCAGTGTATTTGTTCACTAATGCTTGTACTGTATCTTTTTCTCCTGGAAAATATTCTGATAAGATCCGTCACATTGTCACAACCATACACTCTGTGAACTGTCAAAACTCTTCATTTATTTTGTCTCTTCTTGGGAGCTTTCATGGTTCAAGTGTCCATATTATTCGGAAATTATGTTCAAAGGAAAGATTTGTGTGGCTTCCACTTCGACGCGGTGGGACAAGATCCTCAGCAGGAAGATTATTTACTGCTGGATTGTAGTGAAATGACTGAAAGCAAATGTTTTCATAAAACATTTTTCATATTTTTAACCATTGGGTTTTATTGAAAAATTGTTTAAACGTAGTTTTCGCACTGTGACAAGTCAAATTCAAATAAATGAAATGCACCTGTTAGTTCAAATAAAATACTTCCAAAGCTCTTCTATTTTTTTTTTGTGAAAAATTTTTTCCAATTAAAACTTGTGAAAAAAGAATATTTGTTTTTAAGAAATAAGCATAAAACTAAATTACCTACCTACTTTATGGAAGTATGAGAAATACTTGAATACTTGTTCATTTTATTATTTTGAGCACCTTTTCTTAATAAATTTTTTTTGTAAAGTTGAAAATTGGCGAACTACCCCTAGAAACAAAAAGGTGGTGGGAAAAAAATCCTTTCAATACAATGTTAATTGCAACTTTTTATATACACTAAAGGCGAGAAAAGAAAAAAAAATTAATATATACCCCTAAAAACTAAAATTTTCCTAAGGGAAGTGTCCCCCCGCTGAATGGGGGTGAGTTATAAAAAAAGTTTATGGGGAAAAATTGTAGGAAATGTAATCTTATAAAACTTTTATTAAGAAAATTTTTTTGTAGAAAAATAAAAAAACTTTAAACTACCCCTATTGAAAAACGGCAGGGGGTGAGTAAAAACTTCATAAAGCAAAAATGTTGTATGTGTTGTAGAAATTTTTTTCACGTTGGTTACAATTTTTCATTTTCATTATAAAATTTCAAACGGCCCTTATGACCACAGACGGCCCTTAATCAAAAAAGTCTTTAGATAAACATTGTAGATCAAATAATGTTGCACATCTTTTATTCGAAACATTTTTCTGTAAAATCAATAGGTACCAAGTAATCGCCAATGGCGCACTTTCAACCCCTATAGCGCAAAACGCCAGAGGGGTGAATGTTTGATATTTTCGGTTTTATGATCACCCACCCGCCCCCTATCATCCCTGAAAAGTTCATTTGGGTAGGAATTTTTTTTTTAAAATCGACAATTTTCCTAGACTAGTACAGTTGTTTGATTAGTTTCACGATGAATAGGAGATTTTTTATATGTACATACCGAAGTTAATTTCTTCCTGTCTGCCCAATCCTCTAATAAACTAGTTAAAGCTCCACAGTCTAGTGTTTACATATACGTATTTACAGAGCCACGTTTTAACAAACAAACTTTTCTAACGGCTTGGAAACTCCATTAGAATTGTTTAAATAAGAGGAAAAGCAGTTTTGCATTTTAAAAGGATTAAATTAAATATTTACGAAGTTGGGGAATTTTATGCAAAATATAAACTGAACATTTATTATAAAGGAATGAAAAGGAGCTAGGTACGTTACTATTTAAATTCCCGAAAGATTTTAGATGAAATGCATCTCAATTCATATGTTGCGTCATTTGACGCGAAACCGAATTCAAATTTTCATAACGGGAAATTCATGCATATAACATTCCATACACATAAAATCCTAGGAGAATATTGGATTGGTTTGAACGAGAACTGTTTCTATTTGAAATGGATAAAATCGGCTGAACCTGGGACGCAAATGTGATAGGAAACAAATAGAGATATTTAAATGAGGTTGTTTATTGAGCAAATAAATAATTCCCGGGATATGTTAATGTTAGTATCTATTCATCACTAGAAAGCATTCTCTTTATAACTTTATAGGTCCATTTTAACAAAAATATTATGACTTTTCAGATCTCGTCGTTCTTCTGGAGCCGCTTCTGCATCCACGCCTCAGCCACGAAATCTAAATCCAGGAGGTAAGGTTTGGGTTGCTGGCGAATGCTATTCAAGTCCTTAATATTCGCAAACCGTAATGTATCTAAATAATTTTTCCTCTTCCAGACGAGGCATACTTGAAAATGGCCTTGGAAACTATGGAAGAATTGGATTGGTGTTTGGACCAATTGGAAACTATCCAGACGCATCGATCTGTATCAGACATGGCGTCCCTTAAGGTAAGATACTCTTAATAAATTTATTTCAAAACTTCGAAGATATATTGCATAAAATCTTAGTTATACTACATAATACCATTCCATAAGAATTTTTTTTTTTGCCGGTAACGTGGACTCAATGCATCATCTCGTTTGAAGCCTATTACCGCGTTTGAATTAATACTGTTGAATTTCGATCGAATAGAAATTTAGCACCTGATATTAGAAGCACTAACGTCCTATTATTTTCATGATTATTCGCCGGAACAGCTCTGGCTTTGCTATTTTTTGAACAAGAGCGAATTGCTCGATGCGTTATTCAGCTTGCACAAAAATGCCGAAATAAAACTTATTTTCGACAGCCGCGTACGAAGTATTTTCTTGCCAAATAACAAAAGTCGGTATTCAACTTACAAATTCAAACTTTTTGAATATGTATTCATCTTTTGCTAGAACGTGAAATTGATAAACATTTGTTTAGCATTAAAATTTTTCAAAACTGAATAATAACCTAAGTTTTTATCGCAGCTAGTTTTTTACAAAGAAGAGTTTAACATGCAATCAAGTTTACCATTATTTTCGAACTTTTGCATACGTGTGCAGTTTATGTAAAAAAAATAAAAAAACACTTCTTTCCGTGAAAATTAAAAAAGTTTTACACAAAGGCCGTCCACATATAGAAGTTTAATTGGGAGCACGTCCTCTGTTTCAAGTAGTCTGGAGTTTAAAGTTTGTAGAAGCACGTGCAACTACAATAGAGCTAAGGCAGGGGTGGGTAACTTTGGAGTGAGTTACTTTAGTTTATAATGTTACACAGTTATTTGGAGATGGTTAAGACGCAAATATTTGTATGGTGTTTGTTGTAATTTAAGTTAAAAATGTCTTCCATCACTTACCATTATTTGTAAGCCTTCCATCGATACAGATTTCTTTGAGACTAAATTTAGTGTAGTACTCGAAACACTGGATTTTTGAAAACGAGGCGTGTCCTAATTTGCCTAATTGGGACGTAGGCCTACTTCGCCGGCTCTGTTATATGAAGACACACCCCATTTTTACTTGGGTCACTCAGCTCTAGGTGGATCTTATAAGTCTCCTGTTTCGATAGAGCTACGTCACATGGCTAATCTCCAAACTTTTAGGTTGTGTTTTTTTGTGACTGGTAAATTTTAATCAGATGAACGAGATTTCCATCGCATAGCAAATATCATAATCGAGAGTCAATAATGGAAAGTCAATGAAACCAATGAAGGGTTTTGAGTGCAACATAACACCCTTGAAAGTTGAAGAAATATCTGACCGAAAAGGAAGCCTCATTTCTACCTTCTTGGAGCATTGAACTATCGCCCAAGAGGTCAAGGTTCGAATCCTAGTCCCGTTCAATTTTTGGTTGATTTTTAATTATCATGCCTGCTCTGCTACACAAATATATTGTCCATCTGCAATTATTGAACTTTAAACTAAAAAGTAGATTATTTTACACTCAGTTGATCGATTAGCTTTGATTTTGCCCAACACCATCTTGCCAATATCTCCTCGCCTCAGATTTCTTTCGAGGATGGTTAAACGGATCCAGATTATCCAGGTTGTTCCCGGTGCTCCCCTTCTATTATTCTCTATGGATTATAGTTTTGGAATTCATTCACCCGATATACTGTCCATACTTTTATACCAGACAAGCTGTTTTTGTTAAATATCATCTACTTTTGTTCTTATAACATCATTCATCATTTTTCCTATTCTTCCGTTCTTGACCTTCTCCCTCCTTGGTAATTAAGCTCATCTTCACCAGAAGTACAGATCAACAGCTATTTCATCGTTTGATTGCATGCAGGATCTTCTAGAATGGTGGACATACATTGTGTAGAATGGATGAAATAAAGTATAAACTTACGTTTCGCGAAAAACATATCAATACTTAGCGTATCGAAGTATCCACTCTACCTGAGCAGAACATATTACAGTGCATAGCCATAACCGAGTCCATACTACTACTTCAAAATATTTTCTATCGGTTCAGCGATTGTCACAGAGAAGCATGCAGCATTATTGGTTTAATCGCAGTTGTTGGTGTCCCAAATGATGATTAGCGCTGCTTCTTGCATGTTAGTAAACATAACTTCATATACCTATCTACTACCGAACTTTTCCAAGATGCGTTGACATTTCTTTAGCATTACAATATTTTGAACGTTGATAGAGACTTTCGTATCTTGGACTCTCCATTTGGAGTTTTTTTTTTCATAACGATGTATAGTCAATAGTAATCTCCTTTCTGATGGCAAGTTTATTACTTTGTTTGGATAAATCGCGTTCAAGTCACGCAGACTCTGTTGTTTGCTTATTCGTCTGAGTGTTTGTCCATTATTATTCTTCCCTTTTTAACTGTATCTTCTGATCACTTTATTGTTTATCTTGTTTGGGTAAAAAAGATGCATTATCGTTCATAACAAAACTTTCATAAGCTCAGCTTCTAGCTCTCGTAGAATTTGTTTGTTCCAGAGCTGAAGAATCTTCTTTTGAAGGAAGCTTCCGACACCTCCGATTACTGTTTTGGTATTGGGTACTCCGCTACATTTTTAGATAAAGTCGTTCATTTCCCCGATAATGTTTCTTTTTTTTTTTCTTTTTGATTCCCCTATGGCAGTGGTATCGATATTCATCTGCTTATGCCGGTTTTTAACATGTTTTGAAACTCGAAATTAACCCGAAAAACAAAACTCCAAATTAGCAAAACACGGTAATCTTGAAAATGTTTGGGAAAAGTTGGAGTTTTGTCTGAGTTTAAGTTTTGTTTTTGTTTTGTCGGTTTGGTGGAAAATTGGCATTAGACCGTAGCCACTGAGTCCTTGAATGTTCCATATTCCTATAATCATTCAAATGTTTTTCACAAGTGATGGGGAGTAGTTAGTAGGTGATTTATTGTTGAGGGTTTTCTTCCTCTAGCCTGGAAAAATTAGCCAAAATCTATCTGCAAAATGGCAGTTCCTCCGCCGTAATCTGACAGGAGCTCTCGAAGGATGATTCTGGTCGGACTCTGCCACTTTTTTTTTTAATCAATTTAGCGGTGAGACCTCAGGCTTGGGGCTGACGCAGCGAAGTTTCTGCCTTAGCTAACAAGTTTGCATTTCAAGATAAATTCTTGGAAATAAAGAGCATGCGCGCCATCTGAAAAACAGAAATTTCTGTCCATTTGCTTTTTACGTAATTGTCGGGACATTTAGCACAACAATAGCAGGGTATATGAATGAAGATTCGACAAAAACAAACTGAACAAAACAGGGAAAACATATGCACACGCATGTATGCACCTGAGCACCTGGGATAATATAATGAGAAACTGGACAATGTAGCCGCCCGAATGAATTTTTTTTTGTTAAAGTGGACGTTCTAAGTGGAGTCCTGGCTGGGGTTTAATGTGCCTAGCTTTTTTTAGTCTGGGGTTTACAAAATTCGTGTAATTTTGGAAAATTCATTTTTTATTGTATGCTCCTACAGGGGAGCGAGAAAATTCGAAAGTATGTGTTCATTTGGAGCTTCAGATGCTCAAATGAATAAAGTATACCTACTACTGTCGGTCATTCATTTTCATTTGAGTAGATCTGTAGTATTTTCTCCTGCTTTGCATGCTGTTACAAGCTGATCAAAAATATGGTCTGAGCTTTAGAAACATTGTCTTAGAACTGATATTTAATTTCAATTCGCTGCATTGTATATCTTTTCCTATTCTGTCTTGAAAATAATTCCGATTCGAAGATTCAACTTCCTTTGACCGCTTTAACATAATTTAGGAGGAAAAAAAACCCATATTTTTGTTATTTGAAGGATTACAGGTTTGAATTTTTTTTTGCATTGTCATACATATTGATGATTCACATTTTCTGAGATACTCAACTGAAATGTCAACTACAACCCAGCATTCTACAACCTCGCAAACAGGGCCAACTCTTGTTAGAAAATTCCAAAAAAAAATTGCTAGGAGAAAGTTGTTCACAATAATATTTTCCTACGGATACGAAGAAACCGTTATTTTGGAATGTGGCTTCCCTATATTACACCTCTCGATTTGTGCCAGAATAAGGCAAATCTGGCTTGAAATCAGCATCCCAGAATTAAGTTTAGTAGCTACACAGAATAGTAATAAAATGTTTGATAAAATTTTAGGTTCATGAACCTTATTTATGTTAGGAAATAAAGCCCAGTTACAACATTGAAAAAAAAAATGCTTAATGCGTATTTTCCTCCTTGTTTTGCATACAAAAAATATACTTGCTTCTGAGGCGGAGGTTATCTATAATTTCCCTAGATTAAGGCAATAAAAAATTATTGGTAGATAAAATAGCAAAACAAATAAGTAAGTTTGCCACAGATCTTCCAAAACCGTGAATGAACGATGTGGCAACGAACCACATTTATTATTTAATCCCTTTTTTCCCGTAGCTCGGTACGTCAATTTAAGATATTTATGACAGGACATTTTTAATGCTAATAAATACAAGTCTGATTTATTCTAAAGCTCCATGTCAGCTACCTTTGCTCTCATTTTATCTGTTGTTATATGTATAAAAGTTGATAAATCGTGTTTGCACTTGTGCATCCAGATTTGATGCACTGTCAAGCATTTAGGAATAATTCCTTTCATTTCTTTCAAGCCTTAATGCGTAGGTTTACTAGATACCTGTAGATGCTCTCTTTCAAGCATTAGTTTACTTGGAGGAATATGTCACTGCTGAGTTTAGAAGCTATTCTGGAAAACCTGAAATTCTTGAAAATATAAGAATTCTTAACAATTATTTGCATTTCTTAAATTTAAATGTGCGTTTGTTATCTCATCATTTCTCTGTTATATACGAAGGTCTTGACTTTTACAACAATTCTCCGAAATTATTCGAAGTAATTTAATCTGGGACTTACCGATCTATTTAAAAATTGGTTAAACAATTTTCTTTGAACAATGTATTTTTGGAGATCTCGAGGTTTTCTAGGCATTGCGATGCTATGTATACACACAATGCGAGGAC